AAAACTTATTTGCTACTGTACAAGATGGCATTTAAGTATAAATAAATACATCATATAACAATTTTGAATAAAGTTTATTAGTAATATGGTAACACTCGCGATGCGCATATTTATTAGTGTCAACCATTATATACATTTATATAATGATAAATTATAAATTATATTTTTAAAATAGCATTAAAAATTTGTATAATATTTAAAAACAATAATGTAATTAAAGTCAAATTCAAATATGACATGATCGGTTTGTCATTGTATTTAGCATTTAGAAATGAACCTTCTATAACTTCAAAGATTTATTCAAAGATTTCAAGGAATAGGCTAAAATATTATTCTGATTCAGACACTTTTCATTAAATCAAGATTTGTACTACGATGTAACTTTAAAATTTTTATTTATCTATGCAGATTTCCTTGTTGATATCGGTACGCATACAACTTTGACACTGGTACGCATACAACGTTGATGCCGGTACGCATGCAACGGCAGATCTCTATTCGCATACACGACGACTAATCACAATCGACCCGTTTGGAAATGATATCATCGAGAGCGAATAACGAACCATTAGCACTCGACTCTTATTTTATCTTATCTGCCGTAACGCACTTCCGTTGCATTTGTACGGATTTACACCCTAGTCGCGCCAAAATATTTTACTTCAAGAATTTTCACAGGACCATGGTAACTTCATTAGATAATTTAGTTAAAAATGTATCAAGAAAACTTATAGTATCAAAGAATTTTTTTTTAACCAAATTTTTGCAGAAACACTGTTTTTTATGACAGACATATATGACTGACACACTATTTTGTATGTCACACATATTTTAAAACTTTTTTCTCATTCTACCAAATTGCGTATGTCAGATATATATGTCTAACATGTCTCATGCACAACTTCTAAGCGTCAGACACATACGACTGACATAGTCATTAACGTGTTAAGTTAGGACAATATCAAGCAATTGGAAGAAACGTGTTAAAGTGCAACATTTTTGCGTAGATTTTGTTATTTGCAGATTTACCAAAATAATATCTGAATAAAAATATAATATTTTTTATTATTTTTATTTCATAGTAAAGGATAAAATATGAATGTTATAATTCTTGTTTTATTACTGAAATTGGACAACAAAATTACTTCCAGTTCGAATCTGGTGAAGATATCAACTTAGGAGTGAAAGTGGGGGTATTATACCTCAGTATAAAACGGAGAATTTTTAATACAATCATTCTATTTCGACTACCTGCCGTATGGAGTAAATAATGTATGGTCAGAATAGTGTTACGTAAACTTGATTATCAGAAAAATAATAATATTATACCCAAAACACATGAGTAAACAATTTACTTTACATATATAGAAACGCACCATCAAGAAAAGACCAATTGCATGAAATTTTCCAATGCATTTTTTTAAAAGATTTTCGTCGGTATGTATTATCATCTGTAATATTATTAGTTTAAATAATATTGTCATCCGTAATCATATTACTTTGTATTTGTTTATAACCAGCAATCCTTATGCCAATATTTTTTTTATTCTCATATCTTAGCAGCAATCAGAACCTTACGTCCTATGAGCTGTTGGGGAGAAACTTTTCCTTACTTCGTATTTTTTAGATGGTAACCCAATGGTTAATCCATCCATATTTGATGATTTTTTATTAGAATTTATCTAATAGATATGACATTTTTTATTGGTGCAGCAATGCCGGACGAGCTATTTTCACATGGAAACATATTGCTATCTATAATTCCAAGTGAAAATCGTTGTCACTGCTGCCTGACAACAGGCTGCTCGAAGTGCGTATCGAACCCGGGACCTCTAAATCAATAATTTATATAGTTAATCGTCACGATAATATCGGAAAAAGTTCCTCGTGGGTCATGGTAACATTTTAAGAAAATCTAGTTAAAAATGTATCAATGGAATAAAAAATTATTTTTTTTGGCAGAATCCTTGCAAATACGCTATTATTTATGTCACACATATATGACTGACATTGCCCTTCTCAAAACTTTTTTCTTCTACGAAATCGTGTACGTCAGATACATATGTCCAACAAGTCTCATATAGAACTCCTTAGCGTCAGACACATATGACTGACACGGCGATCAACGTATTAAATTTATTTTATTTGGTTTTGTATTTATACAAATTGATTCTGCAAACTCCATGTTTTTGTCAGATACATATGGTTGACATGGCTCATATAGAATTTCTTAGCGTCAGCCACATATGACTGACACGGCGATTAACGTGTTAAATTTATTGTATTTGGAATCGTGATTATAAGAATTAATTCTGCAAATCCCAAATACCCGAAACGTTGAATAAAATAATTGAAAGAAAATAAGTAAATGCAATTTGTTGGCGAAAAAGGAGGCTTTTACTTAAGAAATTCAAAAACTATAATTATTAGTAGCTATCCAGCAAACCTCAACATTATATGTATAATATACATATTGGGTGGTCCTTAATATGGATGTTTTCGAATTTCTTTGCTCCCAAGGGCTCAAATGCTTCCAAATTGATAAAAAACAATTTTTTGAAAATTTTAGCTCTTAATATCAGTTTTAAGATAGTCTGCACTCCAACCAAAATTTCTTGGTACTACTTCCTAAGTAAATACTTATTTTATAAAATATATCAAAATTTTGTTGTAATTTTTTTATTTGTGATCAAAATAAGCAAATACAATGTTATTCTCGAAATTTTGATTCACTTGTCGCTAAGTTATAAAATTCTAAAAAACAAATGGAATTTTACCCATGTTTTACCCAAGAAACTTTGGTTGGAGTGCGGACTATCTTAAAGTTAATATTAAGAATTTGGGAGCATTTGAGCCTCTGGGAGCAAAGAAATTCGGAAATATTAATATTAAGAACTACCTATTAAATAAATGTATCAATTTATTAATTTATGAATTATAAATTTGATCTTACCCTAACACTTGTACAATTTTGTACTCACAACAAATATTTTTAGTTTACTCCAAAATCCTTATTACAACTAATCACTTATCGACCTAAATATCGTTATAATATTCTTTCCTTTTCAATTTCCATTACAAAAATATATTAATTTACATTATTTTCCTTTCAGGTTTGTCAAATCATACGTAAACTCGTCCATTCCGAATTGGAGGTTCGTTTCATACGGCTGCTGGAGGTCTTCGGTGACTCCAGCTGGACAACATGGTGCTCTGGGTGCTCTGGAACAAGGAAAAAATAAGGTTAGAATTTAAATATATATATTACTATGAAAAATATTATTTATTATTATAAAAGCGTGCTTTGAAGTGAATTAGTCTTTGCCAATATTATCGGCAATTGATCACACATAGACCATCGTAAAAATAGGGTTCACCAGAATCTAGTTTCCCCAGCCGAAAAAACATAAGCTAAAAATATATTTAAACCGACATATGAGTAAATTAGATTCATTTCTAGTAAAATAATGATAAATATAACTCAAATTTTAATAATTCAAAACTTTAGAAGACCCCCTCAATTATGAAGCCGGTGCCTAACGAACTTGATCACTTTTTTAACTTCCCGTAGGGTAAGTTATTGTAATGGGCCGAAAATCGAAATTGAAAATTTTTACATTTCTCGACGTTTTGAAGGTTTCTGAACATTTTGGCATACCTCAGAAAAAATGGATGTGTGTGTGTGTATGTATGCATGGATACAATTTTTTAACCGATTTGAATGGTTCAAAAAACATTCGATTCCTATTGATAGGGAGATGTGCTGATTAGTTTTTGGCAAAGGTAGGTTCAGCAGTTATGGAGATAAAGAGCAAAGAGTGCAGAAAATTGAAATCGAGTTTTTGAGTGAACGGAGCATCCGATTTGAATGATCTAAAAAACATTCAATTAGTAATTATTGGGAGAAGTGGTTATTAGTTTTTGGCAAAGGCAGGCTCAGCCATTTCGAAGATACAGATAAATGTGCAAAAAATGGCAGTTTTTGAGAGAACTAATCGTTTGATTTAAATGTTTCAAAGAACTTTCTGCTTGTTTTAACAAAATAATTGATTTTGGAAAAAAAAATTGTTTCAAATTTTTTTTTTTCAATTTTTTTTTTCAATATATATTTTTTGTATATCGAAAATATTTCAGATTTTATTTTTAATTCTGACTAAAGTTTTAATATACTTTAAACAAATAATTTTAACTTTTCAATTCAGTTTATATAATTCTCATAAATATTAGACAATGTTACAATATTTATAATAATCTATTTGAAAACATTCAATATTCCTCGAACATTTCTTTACGGTACGGGAAGTTCCAGCAATTTGCCTTAAAGCACGATGCCATACACTCCACTAGTTTTTGAATATTTTAGATTGATCTTTGATTTTCATTATAAATTTCTAGATTGTTCAAGAATGCTTCCCAAATTTCTTTCTAACTTTATTAATTAGTTTAGAATGTTCTATGGTTTTTATTATATTGTGATTTTATTATATAGTGATTATCTATAGATTTGAATGAATGTATATGTAATTATGTGTCAAAATTTTGTTTACCATAGTGCACCATAGTGCACATTCTCAAGTGTTTTTACATTTGAAAACGGTTTTTATCGTATCTATAAATAATAATTGTTATTTTAAATCACATTAAGTCACCCCGCATAAATATTCCTTGTCCTGTCCCGGATTTTACATGAACGCGTAGTGTCACTTTATTTTTAGACAGGTACAACTAGTATTTCATATGAAAAATAAATTATATGCTGAAAGAAAACTTGCACCAAACATATTCAATATTTGAACTAACTGCCTGACATTAATTTAAAATATTTTTTTATTTATTATAATGTTGGTAAATCGAGAGGGCTGTTTGTACGAACTTCAGAATCCATAAATTCATTTGTTTGCGATTGACATTCTTTCAATTAAAACAAAATAAATATAAAATTATATTTGATTATAAAATAAATATTGGATTGTGTGTAAAAAATGAACTACCACACGAATATGACGACACCTCGTCTGCAGAAGAAGAGTGGATCAGGTGATGAAATTTATTCGGACGCATTTATGGTGACGATGATGAGAGAGTTGTGGCCCCACATGCTAAAGAAATGGGATGAACCCAGATTAATAAATGACATAATGATGCTAATAAGAATCTAATCATGCGGGGAGAGGCTATAGAGTGGAATTATGGACAGGAATTAGATTCCATATTCGGAATATTTACGATGATGTTCTTGGAATTGAATCACAACCCAAAAATCAGGTTGTTGCTGTTATTGTTACTGGAATTGAGGGCTGGCTCATGGCGCTTGAGCAGGGATGCTATCTGGTACTATCAGCCCTATTTGGCGGCGATGCAGACGGAGACGCCAACGGAGCTCCTTTTTTTCGATAAGGAAGCATTGGAAGAAATGGCCATGTATTGCATGCCATAATATGTCAGTTATGCAATTAATTATTAATCTTACTTCCTTTTCAAAATGTATCCAAAGTCTTAGAGAGATGAAGTTTAAAATTATACATGCTATATTATATGTACTATAACTATGTGAAGTCACTTTAATATGATTTAAAATAACAATTTTCATTTAAGAATACAATAACAATCGTTTTTTTTGAATGAATCAATTAGATGTAATGTGATAGACATAACACATTTAAATAAAATATATTTTGAGAAAACGAAATCAGTTAGATGATAGACTGATTACAGTCTTATATTATACATTACATTAGATACATTAGATGAACGCTACTAATTACAGTTGTCATTTACACTTGAATAAAATACATGTTTAAAACACGAAATGAATGAGATGTTAAATAAATTAATTTAATTTATTTACAATTACAGATATTATAAGTATATTTTACAGATATTAATTGGTGGTAACCGTATTGACTATTTTTTAGTGAAAGCGAAAATTTAATTTTCGAAATAAATAAGTGCTGGTATAATATCGGATGTAAAATATGGTTTTATTTTACGAAATTGATAATTTTATCAATAAATGTTTTTGCTTTGGTTGACGTAATTTATTACATACGTACTAAATTAAAAAAATGAAATTAATTCATTTAAATCTGTACTTAGTTAGATGATACTTTGTGCGATGATATAACCAACATTTTAAAATATTATAGGCCTAAGACATTGGTTTATTTATGAAAATTAATTTGTATTAATCGGTCTAATAATACTAATATATAGTCCAGTCATAAAAGTAAGTTGACCTCGGAGTTCGAGATATCCAGCTGTAAATCTGTTAATACTTGTATATTGACACCCTAAAAGTTGTCTCAAAACCTACATATGATAAGGTGTCAATACCATATGTAGGTTTTAGTAGTGTTAATATACAAGTATTTACAGACTTACAGCTGGATATCTCGAATTCCGAGATTCTTACCTAATTTAAGCTTAAATGACTGGACTATGTAGGGATATCAAATTTTATTCTCGACTGAATGAAGGCTAGGATGTTAGCCAAAACATATGGATTTCAACTAAATTTATAATCAGCCATCCGCTCACCTCAGAATTTGATCTTTCTCACATTGTGTAAGTCAAGAAAGAAATTACGGCAAACTACTTTTTTTATTATCTCGAAAAGTATTTAAATGAGTTTTTTACTCTGTGATAAAGAGAGCGACTAAACCGACCTTGACCTTATGACATGTTGACTGGCTAGTTATCTATATCGAGCGACAACAATGGTAAAATTGTGACAAGGTAAATCGTGTTGCGCATACTGAACTTAACATCATGCATGGAGACAGGTGATGCACAGAAAAGTTTGGATGGATAGAACTTGGACACAAATTTTCTTTTGGTATATGTTACCAATCTTTACATATTAAAGAAAATATTCTGGTCTAGGATTTTTAAACTAGTGATGCATGGCATCGTGCTTTAAGGCACATTGCTGTAATTTCTATCAGATAAACATTGGTACCGAACTTGATGTGCATATGTCCAATGATCATTTTTGACGGCCAGATGGCTTTTTTACTTATCTTCGAAACGGCTAGACCTGCCTTTACCAAAAACAAATCAGCACGTCTCCCCATCAATACGAATCGAATGTTTTTCGAATTATTCAAATCGGTTGAACGGTGTTCCCAAAATCGTTGACAAAAATTTGTCTCCGCACATATACAGATCCATTTTTTCTGAGGAGATTCCAAAATGTTCATTTAAAATAAAGATATACAGAAAAATTTCCCTATGAGAAGTTAACAATCGATATGAATTTTTCAAAGTTTAACTAATCAATAGTATGTTTACAAACGAATTTTTAAAATTTAAATTATTTTTAATATATATTATATATATATAGATATATATATATATATATATATATATATATATATACTACTATAATCTACTTGTGAACTTTTTTATATCGGAGAAACTAGCCAAAACCTGAGTAAGCGCCTTCATCAACATAAAAATAACTCAAAAAATCCCAAACAATTCAAAACCATGTTAACCGAACATATTAATAATTTAAACCATTAAAGAAGATTCGCTGAGGGGTTGTTTTCAGCAATTGCATAACGACAGGGTCATAAACAAACGATTCGACAACACGGCCTTGAACGAAACAAACACGTGGTTCCTTATCAAAATCTTCTTAAAAAGTGACAAGATCCCATCGCTTTTTTAAATTTCTCGTAAATTTGAACACATGTTAAGAATTGCTTCATGAAAAATGTGACATTTTTATCTTAGACTCCGAATAGTAAATACATAGTTTCGATAACTTGTTATCTTATTCATGTTTATTCGTGTGTTTTACCATTTGTGATGTTAAAAAATATATATTTTTCCAATGAGCATATACTCATACCATGGATTAATAATGTTTTCATATGTTATACTAAGATAAAAAATTGTAAGTTTTATTATTATTATTAACTTCCCGAAGGAGAAGTTTATGTTTTCATAAAAAATCCGATTCGCTAATGTTGTTTTCTCGACGTTTCAAGCCATTCTGAATCGAATGAGACAAAATTTGGAAAAAGTATGTGTGCGTGTGTGTGAACAGATTTTTTTCCGTAAATCCACGTTCTCTCAAAAACGGCTGGACCGATTTCAAAAATTTAAAAGCCATTCGATGTATCTCGATGAGGACTATCGTTTGTCAGTTTTGCGTTACGATCGGCCGAGCCGTTTCTTTGTAAATCGCAGAAAAGTGAAATTTTTCGTCCACGTTTTAGCCCGCAATTCTCAATCGATTATGAAAATTTAAGGGAATTTTAAAAATATTTTTATAAAGCTTTGTTAAAATTTATAAATTAAGGGACCGATTCCACCGCATAACAAGAAAATGTTATGGCAAGGTCAGGTTATGACGAACTTTCCATACTAAATATTGACAAAAA